TAACTTCCTGTGTGTAATTTGTGGAGAGGATTTCCACGGATCCCGACCACCCATTGCACCCAGAACTGACACGTTGTCGTTCCCAGCATTCAACTCACTCCCAATTCCGCCAAACTTCATCTCAAATGAACGCTTACCGCAATTCACCCATATCTTGTTAGTTTACTCACAAGCAAAGAGAGGGCAATAAGTGAACTTTGTCTTAAACTTGGATTATGAAATGTCCCCATGTTTGGAAAACATTTTCTCCGCGTTCACCATGTACTTTGTGATGGTTGGCATGTATGATTTTTTAACTGAAATGCGACCTCTAGCGCTTGCAAACGTTATACACAATACAAAACAATACAATACAATATTTCCATCTATTCATAATTGACAATTCTCAATTTTTACCGGGGAAAGAACAGTAACCATCTACAATTTATTCCCAATTCAGACGTATCACACCTAGCTGGTAAACAACTTCATTTGAATTTTCACTTCTGTGCACCTTGCATTCTTTTCTTTTAGGTGATCGAATCAGCCCGACCGATTGACAGTGATCTTTCGGGTATATGAATCCGCGGCATCGTTCTCATGCAGCACATCGAGAGGTTTAGAAATCACATATCATTGCTCACCGAGCTATCGCGCAACAGGTGAATGCGATTGACTTCTAGAAACTCTCCAGGAAGTATCCACATGAGCCCGACTAAAGTGCACCGTTCTCTGCCCCTCCCCCCCCCCCCCCCCGCCCCTTATCGGAGCCCCGAAAAGTGAACCTGATTGTATCAAACTTTTTCATCCTTTGTGCCTCACCCCAGTTCAGCTTGAACCCATTAATCAAGAAGCGCACAATCGTGGAAAGGCAAGAAAAGCACCGACGTCCACTAGAGAAGATCATCCGTTTCAGCCCTTTCTTATCAGTAAGTCACCCATCACCTTATGAAGTGCGTAATTCGTCATCTAGCATACTAAAAGTCCGTGACCGACTGAATGGTTGAGATCCCGAATTACGGAGCTGGTAGCTCCACTAACCGAATCGCATAGGAACGCAAGGCCAATGCAGTGTGGGATTTTGCACAGCGCACAATTAGCCCATTTTGATGAATCTCGATTCACTGAAAGACACCGTGTCAGATTGACGAACGTCGGAGTACCCTCACGATGTGCATATTACACTATCCAAGTCGACGGAGGATGTTTACATGTATGCAGTGTAGAACAGATAAGTAATGAAACAATACTCACCGGTGATTGTGGGACAAAATAGCAGTCCTGATCAATTTCTTTTTTCTCCTCCGAGAGGGACTGGTTTCCATGCCAGTAGTAATAGTAGTGTTGTGAGATACTACTCAGTTTTAGATGCGAAATTATTCCCGAAAACGAGCTTGTTTGTTATTTTATGTTTTCAGATACTACTCAATTGTGAGTAGTTATTTATTTCAACGACCAAAAATCAACAAGATCACCGAGGGCAATTTCCGGGTCTCAAAGAATGACTATCGATTGCAAAATTCATTACTTGTCGTGTGGACATGAACTGAGATGGTGTGTTTCTAATTAGTAGTAGTAGTAGTAGTAGTAGTAGTAGTAGTAGTAGT